CTATTGAAAAATTTTAAAATTGAAATCCCCGGTAATTGGGATTTCAACTTTTTCTATTTTCTGGCGTATAAAAGCCAAAATTTCTTATTTTTTTTTAACTTTTAACTTAAAATATAATTGATATATCATTGTTACATAATATTGAATGTTAAAATAGTAAGATCGGTAAACAAAATAACGAGTTTTCAGTTGCACATGTTGCATGTTATTATTTTATTGATATGCTAATGAAACACAACATCAATAATTGTTTACCACCCAGTACATGCCCAACTCTAGAAATAGTCCCTTATTCTGAAAAGGATGTTCAGAAGCAAAAGTGATTTGCAATTTACAACCATAATGCAATAATTAGTGTTTAACATGCATGATGTACAAAACAATATACTTGTTCAGTTTGAATGTTGTTTTATGCAGTGTGTTTGGTAGCTATCAGAAGGTATAATCCGTAGCCAAGGTCCATCTGATTATCTATCCCAAATTTATATGTACATGTAGATGTCATTTAGTTCTTTGTGTCGTATGGTTGCTGTCTCAGCATACATTGATATATAATACCCTTGCAGTATCTTTTTTATTCACATTACTTTGTACTTATTTCCACAATAGCAAAGCTCCATAAAATAGGATCCCCATGGCTAAATTGCAATTACCTATTTAATAGAAATACATTGTTATGATTGTACATTCCTCTTCTACTTTTACACATACATGTATATATATACAGTTTGTATTTAAACTGCCTAAGTGGTCTTGTACTGTGTTATAGAATCTGTAGCATGCTGGCATGAATCATGGGATGTTATAAGTTGGATCTGGGGCCAAGTCAATCTATTGACTTGAAAAATTGTGTTTGCTGTTTCTCTGCTAAGCACCCTGCTTTAAGGGGTATAATTAGAGTAAATACTTGGTCAGCTGAGGACAGTAATTAAACTGATGTGGATCAAAGAGTTGAAAACCCTCTAAGCTAGATAATGTTTAAAGTGAAATAGGTAAAAAGTCTGTACTATCCATAAATTGTAGCTCCATCAGTAGGGGAGCCTGACCACCCTAAATCCACCTCTGTAAAATGTCTGATATGGTAGTGTAATAGTTTAATTTTTTTTATTTACAGATTCTTTATTCACTGTTGGTCACTTAATGTAAGTGGAAAAAAATGATTGAATATAGATATTAAAATGTCTTTAAAGTACAGGTGAAATAGGTGAGTTTTCTATGTTAATCACAGTGGTAAAAGAGTACATGTAAGTTTACGAAGGGTTAAAATTGGCCCTATGATTTTGATGTTTTTGTAAACCGGCCAAAATACTACAAATATCACATAGAAATAGTTGTGATATTACTATTAATATAAAATAACTTCATTTTAGCACATCACATTAGAAATGAAGAAGTATTGACTCTTTAAGTATGCATAATTTGTGTTGTAACGTCAGATAATGAGATTTGGTCAAATTTTCAATAATTCTTAACCGTTTTTAGCATAATCTACTTTGGCCGCCACCCACGATCCAAAACGTTTTTATGTCTAGGGATTCAATATCATTTGCAACTTTTGGATACAGAACATTTTGGATACTAGGTTGCGGCCAAAGGTTTCCTCGAGCTTTTAGGTCCTAAAAATACACAAAATCATTGCATTTTGACAATATATCTAAAATGTGGTGATTTTGAAGCCAAGAATGTACTCTTATGAAGAGATTTATTTTAACAAAGAGGTAAGACTTTTGAAAAAGATCCATTTAAGAACAAAATTATGGCCATTTTGAGAATATTTGATAAATTTGAAATTCAAGGCCATATTTGGCCTAAAGTGAACCTTGTCCTTTTTTGTTCTTTTTGAATAGGGGACATTTCACTTGTAAAATTAAATCCTTGTTACTATTTTGTTCATAGTAATTGGCCACTGTAGCATTTGTATTTAAATGAGTTATGTTTTGATTTTGATAAAACAGTTAACCTTTAGTTGTTATAAAATGTTTTATTCTTTATTTCGTCTCTCAATTTCTATTTTTGCAGGAGACTCATCTGATTGTGGAAGTTTGTATAATGGAAGGAGTTACATACAGATGCTGTTTTGAATCATAAGAAATGACTGATATTAATTAATTTCTTCAGTTCCTAATTAGTTTCTTCAGAAGGAACAAATTGTGTAAGGAGTTCTATATTCCTATTCAAAGACCTAACTTTTTTTCCATTTGAGTGTATGAAAGTGAATTAGTTGAATTCATTTTGAATACACAGCTTATATAGTTTTATGAACAAGTATATGTGACTTTCTCTAATTCAAGACTAACAAAAGCTACCTAGATGTTCCTGAATTAGGACATGCACAAAAATTCAGCAAGTTATACATGTTTTGTGAGATATAAACCAATAAGTAATTAATGTGGAATAAATAAACACACTGATACATACAGGAAGTCTATTTTAAAAAAATATATGTTTGTTCTTACGTTGTGCTGTAACATCAGAGTCCCATGTTAAAGACAGGATTTTGATACAGTACATAAATTTTATCCCTCCTTGCACAACTCAATAGTTTTAGTGGTTGTCATTTGTTGTTGTGTTCATGTTTGCTTTCGTTTATTGTTTTTAGCTTACCTTTCTCATTGCAATGCAATACTCTCCGAATGCTGGATACTATCCACACTGGTTTGTGTCCACACTTAATCTATATTATACATTAAAAACTTAAAAGCAAAAGAAAAATTTTGATGAAAAATTTAAATAAAGACTACATGTAAGCGATTCAGGCCTTTTAGAGCCTCTTGTAGAAGATGCAATAGATCCAAGTGAGTGACACAGACTCTCTATTGCCTCTAGTTAAAAAGCTTCCCTGAAACTACTGAACCAATTCAAACCAAAGTGACATGATCGATGGTCCTTAGCGGTGTGTAAAATATAGCTTAAATATTGTATGTCAATAAAAGACGAGTTGAAACAAAAAACATCAGCATTTAAGGCGCATGGAGCCTGTAGTTTACTGTTTTGCTGTGCTCACTGATAACAGCTTCATGCCAGGTTCAGTGCTGGGCTTATATACTTTGTTGTGTCTTTCTGGTGAAGTATTGTTCATCTTTAAAATGTCACAAAAAGTGGGTCAACAATAAAATTGACCACTGTCTCGAGTAATACAGAGGACAGGGCGCTAACAAACAGTATTAACCCTGCTAGGTTCTGAATGCGTTTGTCTTATGTCATGGAGGGTCAAATTGAGAATGGAAACGGGGAATGTTTTGAAGAGACGATAACCTGACCAAAGTGCAGAAAACACACAATGGCCACCAATGGGTCTTCAACACAATTGCTCCTGTATTTCGGTGATTGTCGTTGGTTTGCTGGCTTTCATATTTTATTTTATTTTCGTTTCTGATTCTGATTGTATGTTTTCAAAACAAGAATCAAAAGAATTTGTAAAGATTTGGGGTGGTTCACAATGCTTACACAATTTTATGCTAAATATGATATATTATCCAATTAAAGGGGGCGTACGCATTCTACGCCCCCCAAAATCAATACATAGTTGTATTGAGGTAAGGATGGACAAGAGGACCCGCCCACCCTTATGGGGGATTCATGTCTCGTGCATATAGACTTTGTATGCCCACTCCTAATGTTTTTGTGGTTCCCCCTTTTTAATCCTGGATCCGCACCGGATATGGTATATGAAACATTGATTGAAGATGAAAATAGGGTGAAATATGATGTAAAGCAATGTATATATATATATTACTCTACAAGAGTTTTTAAAACACACGTTGGAGCTTGAGCAAATGCATGTAGAGCAGGCCTAATCTTGTCAAATTCCGTTTCGTCATCAATACAAATAAGTAGGATTATTTATCCAATGAAAGAAAAATACTTGAAATAACTATCGGATCGCTTGCCAACATGGTAGTGTAATAAAAAAAAGTAAGCCATGCATGATATGAGATAACGTGTTAAGGGAAATCATGAATTTATACAAAATATATTCATTCGTATATCTGCGTATCCTTGAGTTTTAGATAGAGTTTTGTGGAAGGATCATTGAAGTACCACCTACCGAGAGTTCTTTTTTTTTAAATTCATAATCAGAAAAATTACAATCAGTTAAACTGTTAAATTCTTTAAAAGGAATAAAGCCTAAAGGCAATGAAAGCTGGCCTTGTGTTAAACTTCAACACAATACCAATATCAAAGGTTACAGCTACAGCTTTCAAAAAGAAATAGAAAGGGAGTCATAAAATTTAAATTGCATGAATAATAGCCCAATCATTTATGACATCGGAGTCAATACTTTCTATTTCTGTTTTCTGATATTTCTTTACTTAATTTACTATTTTTTTTTAATTTACCATCTATATACCGTTTTTACTATCAAATGCACACTTCCCTCCCCCCCCCCCCCCCCCCCCCCCCCCACAAAAAAAAAAAACTTATAAAGAAAAATGAAAATATCACCAAAAGACTTTAAAAAAAAGATAATGCCGCACGTTTCAGGACTAGTGTAACAAGAGAGCACGCATTTGAAAAAAGACTACAGTGGAAATCAACACGGTTCGAATACACCGCGGACCAAGTATAACGTGTACAGGAAGTATTGCAGATCGACGACAAACTATCTGCTACTAATTCGTTAAAAAAAAAAACACACACAAAAAACAAACAAAAAATTCAGAAAAACAAATAATTAAAAATAAAATGAACACTGCCGGTAATGGTTATACTATCTATAATGTCTAAAATGGAGGAACGTTCGAAGCAGCGCGTGGTTCTGATTAATACGCCGCCTAGATAACAAAACTGTGTATTGACCTTTTATTAATAGAAAAACAGAGTTCAAATATATATAAATATTCATGTTATAACGTATTGTCATACTTGCGTCAAAACTTTTAAACCAATAGAATAACACAAATTATTTTTCGAACACCTCTGATATTTTCTCATAAGTTATAATCAAACCCGGAGAGGTTCGAAAGAAATCTTTCCAGCATATTAACATTGATTTCCTCCCCCTTACTTACAGTCCCCTGCTGTAAACAACTTTTGTGTCTGGACGTACTTTGGAACTACTTATAAACCTGAATGAAAACCTTGTTGGATTGATACTCCCGACAATAAGGTCACTCATCTATATATACATATTCATTTATTTAGTTTAATTACTACAAATGGCGAAATGTACAGTCCTCAGACATAAGTTTGTCCGGCTGGGCTTTGCACAAATTTGTGATAACACTAAACAGTGTTTGGTTCCACAGTTTGGTTCTCTTTTAAAACTTCCTTTAAGTATAGTTGAAAATTGTGTACATGCAAAAATGTACAGTATTTGTACAAATGTAAATTATGTTAGTGTAACGTTTTTAAATGATAGTAAGTAGGTTTTATTATTATTGTATAAGATTACTTATTCTAATACAGTTGTTAAGTCATTCATTCATCTATAACGCCATCAAAAAGAGTATTTGTTTTATGTCAAATTAATCATGTTATTAATCTGGTGGATCCAGGGTGGGGGTCCCCCCCCCCCTTTGTGGGAAAAATTTGGTTAATTTTATAGGGAATCACTGAAGCATGACTGTAGCTGGCCACCTCTTATGGCAGTCAGTGGGGCCCCCTTATAAATAGTTCCGGATCCGCCACTGCCTACTGCTCCAGACTTGTGTTGACCTCAGCTCTGGGATCTGGTTGCCACAGTGCACGTGCCTGGTTATTATTTCTTTGTTAGGAGTCATTTAACCATATTTGTAATCAGGTTACTAGGGCATATAGAGTGGTATAAAAGAGAGAAATAGCTGTAAAAATAGGAAAATTTTGTGTACGATAGAAGTGTATGTAAGAGATTTGGGATTATGCTACCATATTGTTGAGCCTGCAGTTTAGATGTTTTAAATTTTATAGCTATTACTTTGGATTTGAATTTTTAAAATAATAGACTTTGCGTTTTACTTCCAAGACTTCGTTCAGACTACACCAGGATCCATTTATTTATTTATGTGACCAGGATTCCCTTATCACGCAACTTGTAGATTTCTAGGGTAACTCTGTAAAGTGTATCATTGGGATTTGTCGTCCGTGTACGAGTGAAAGGCAAGACCTGAAACTTACATATACATATATACACCCATCAACGAAGTCAAAGGGGACTTTAGGTTTGCACTCTGTCTGTCTGTCCATCTGTCAGTCCGGCAAATCAGTTTTCCACACTTTTTTTCTGTGCTTGAAGATATTGATTTGATATTTGGTATATAGTTTTATCATGACACGTAACAGATCAAGTTCAAATTTTGTTCTGGTCTGATGATTTTGTCCAGAATTATGGTCCTTGGACTTAGAAAATTCACTCAAATAATCAGTTTTCCACACTTTTTTGTCATGCGTAAAGATATTGATTCGATAATTGGTATGTTTTTTTATCATGACAAGTTGCAGATCAAGTTCAAACTTTATTCAGGTCAAATGATTTTGGGCAGAGAAAAATTTACAAATGTATGGTCCTTGGACTATGAAAATTATCTCAAATAATCAGTTTTCTACACTTTTTTCGTCATGCTTAAAGATATTGACTTGATATTTGTTATACATGTATGGTTTGCACCATGACAAATTAAAGATCAAATTAACATTTTTTTCAAGTACAATGATTTATAACCGGTTGGGGACTATGTACATGATGTATTGCAATGCAATACTCTCAGAATGCTTATTTTAATTGCTTTAGAAATTATCCCCTTTATTCTTGAATTGTACTTTCTTAATATATATATATCCATAATAAAGGTGTTTCATGCACTCTTGGAGCAGCTATTTATTATGTGTCAATGAACACAAGAGACAAAGATTATGTACATTTGTAAGTAAATGAATGATAAAAACCAAAAATCTCCAAATGTCATTGTCTCAATACTGAATTTCACAACAGCAACTAAAATACACAAACAGATGGATTTAGTCCTTCTATTCAGACACCTATTGCATTTATTAGCTGACTGAATTTTATAATTTAGTAGCTACACTGTCACATGTTTATACACTTATTGATATTTTCGATCTACTAATCAATGTAATTATGTAAAATTTGAAATAAGGTGATGTTGTATGATTGGCAATGACAGATGGTCTGGATGGGGGGTCCTTCAATTCTTTACATTTTAAGCCTGTTTTCTCTTTTCTTTATACATTTTGACATTTATACTCTATTTTTTATATTTTAGCAACCCATCATTCTCCATTCTATATATTTTGGTCTTTTTTTCTTTTGTTTACTTTTCTGACATACAATTATTCTCCATTCTGTAAAACCCATCCAGACTCTCATGAGATAAACAATACCGGTATATTTAAGCAGAGACTAAATGAAGTGGATGTAAGCAACTTATGGTCACTATACGGCCTTCAACAATTGGCAACACATATCAAATATACATTTGCAAGCTGGAAAAGGCCCCTACACGACAAAATGAAATTTTAAAAAAAGTAATGTGAAAAACCTACAGCATGTTATGTATGTTGTATGACATAGCAAGTAAAGTTTAAAAGTAGAATAGATGTTGTAAAATAGGCTCTCCAAGTTAAAAATTATTCTTCAAATCTAAAATTCTTTTTTTCCCTTCAGAATGCCAAAGAGGAAGAGAGGTAGTAAGTTAACAAAAGGAGTTAAAAGGAAAAGGAAGCCTTTGCCATGGCCAGCTGTTGATCCTATTATGGAAGAGATATCTAGATCTGTTGCAGTTTCAAACCACACTGATGATGCAAAGGATGAGCAATGTTTAAATCAAGACACATCTATGCTCAAGTTTGTACATTTTGAGGAAATTACTATTGCATCAGCCAAAGACAAAGGGGAACTCTTGTTAGTTGAACTCAAAGACCACACTTATGCAGCAAAAGAACAACCATTTGAGAGTGAAAATACATGTAGGCCCGAATTTGATTGTCAGGAGGACTATTTTCTAGCACCAGCGGAAGGCACAGAGCAACAGATCACGCAAGAAATTGAGATATTTGCAGTGAATGAGACACAGACTGAACATGCAGAACCGTGCCTTCCTCCCTTTCAGACTTTATGCGGTTTGTTACAAGTTAGCATCAACGATCCGTATATCCTTAGCTGTACAGATAATGAAATTCGTATAGTTGAACTGTACCAGATCAGTAGCAGGGACATTAGCATAAAACTCTCAGTTATCATTGACAGTAACTTTTGTGCCAAAATATATGTACATAGGAAGGAAGTGTCAAGAGACAATGATATTTGGACAGGACTGCCAACTAAATATGATAGCGTAGAATCAGTGAGAAAATTATTATCACGTCTTACTTGTTTTTCTGTCTGTGTCGGAAATCCCGATGAGAAATATCAATTCATTACTCCAGTTGGATGTGGAATCAGTGACAAGGTCACCAACACGATTCGCAGCTACAGGGAAGGTAACTTCAGTGCCACATCAGGGACTTTGTCATACGTATCAACAATCAGATCAGTTCATTGTTCATTGTTAGTCAAGGGAAACCGCTGTTCACAATGTTTAGATGAACGTCGCATGTTAAGAAAGAGACACCAAAGAGCTGTAGAGCGTCAGAATTTGCCTCCAACAACTTTTATTCACAAGACATTTCAACATAAAAACATGAGTAGATCAAACTTGATAGAAAAAATCACCCAGCAGCAAGATGAAATAAAGTCAATGTCATTAGAAATTAAGAAACTGAAGAGAAAATGTAAGCAGGAAATTCTCTAGGATGGTGTTACATAAGACCTCTAGTGCAGAACATTGAATTAAAAGACTTGGTGTCCACATGTAAAGATGAATTTAAGAAAGCAAAATAGACCCTTACAGTGAACAAAGACTTATTTGGGAACAGCAGTGTAAATTTGAGACGTCTGGCAAAAATGGTATGAGGTGACATCCAATGATATTGAGGTGGTGTCTTTATAGGAGGAAAAAAGTGCCAAAACTTACGATGCTATGAGAGATTCTGGATTTATACAAATAATACAACTACCCAGTGCAAGGACCCTATTTGATTATTCACACTTTACTCAGAGTGCCTTGGGCTTTCAGCCAGATGTTACCAAAATGTTACATGAGGAAGCAAAGAAATTAATTTTAGGTACATGTATGTATATGTACATGCAACACTTATAAACTGTAGTGGTCAGTCTTGGTCATCATTATATGGCATTATGATTAAGATTATTTAAAGATGCATGGTACAATGCAAGTACATTGTGACAAATAATTTCTGCAAAATACATTTTGTATTTAAATTTACATTTAGAAACTCAAAAATTGAAAAGGATTAGACCCCAATTGTGGAGGTGTTGTGTTTCACTGTATATAGTCTATATATATATTAATTATAAGGAAATATAAAAAAATTAACACATACCTTTTTTTTCTGTCAGGAGGCAGGCAAAAGTACTGAGTTTTTTTATACCTTATATAATTAAGATAGTTCATGTTATTCTTTTATATCTATTAAGAGTTTATTAATAACTATACCCCCCTCCCTGCCTTTTCAAAAGATGAATGATCATGGTCAGCATGGTCAGGTCAGAGCCTAAATCATGAAAGTGTAACTGACAAACTTTAACACATACATATATTACAAGTTGAGTGCACCTGTCCTTTCTGGGAATAAATTTTAAGTCAATTGTCAGGTAGAATTGTAGCTACAAAAAATGTATATATATATGTGTATATCATATATATACACATACATCTAGCATTGTCTATGGAAGGAAAAGAAAGGTGAAAGATACCAAACATGCCAAATGGACATTCAAACTCATACAAGTCATTAAAAAAATAAGTTGAAAGTAAACTAAATAAACTTGAGAATGGAAATGGGGAATGGACATGTGTCAAAGAGACAACAACCCGACCAAAGAGCAGAAAACAGCCCAAAGCCACCAATGGGTCTTCAACACAGCGAGAAAATGCTACACCCAGAGGTGGGCTTCAGCTGGTCCCTAAACACTACTAGTTCAGTGAAAATGGATCCAGATGTCACACTAAACTCTGAAACATATAAATGAACGAAAATTAAAAAACATAGAAGACTAAGAAAGGCCAGAGGCTCCTGGCTTTGGACAGGTGCAAAAATGCGGCAGGGTTAAACATGTTAAGTGAGATCTTGACCCTCCCCCTATACCTCTAGCCAATGGCTAGTAAATATAAACAAACACACAGCAATACGCACAGTAAAACTCAGTTCAAAAGAAGTCAGAGTCTGATGTCAGATGTCAGAATAGGTAACAGAAGAAAGTTAGCAAAATGACAATGATTCATAAACTAACAAAGGACCACCAGCAGTTACTGACATGTCAGCCCCAGACATCAATTAAACGGATTGAACATGTTGAAAGACCATGTCTCCACCACACGAAAACCAAGCAATATGCATGGCAAAAATGCAAAAAGACCACCATGACCAAAAGAAAAATAACAGTAAACAAAATTAAATAAGGATAAATAAATACATGAAATATGCAGCCTCTTTTGTAAATATTTAATTTGGGTGAACTTGTGAATTTTTTGAAATTTTAGAATTACACGAGCGTGGTTTGGATTTAAATTTTTATTATGTTCAAGATTTTATTTAGTCATATCAGAATAAGTTGATCTGAATTGTTTGACATCAGACTGATGAAAAAAATATGTTATCGGAAATATTTATTGATACTTACTTGTAGTTGCTGTTTTTGTTGAGCCTGCGAGTTTAGTCGCAGAAAGCTCGACATAGGGATAGTGATCCAGGGGCGGCGGTGGCGTTAGCTAACTTCTTAAAAGCTTTAATTTATATTTTAGAAGGTAGAAGGCGTGGATGCTTCATACTTTGTATATAGATGCCTTATGTTATGAAGTTTCCGTCTTTCATATGTCCATTGTCCTTGACCTCATTTTCATGGTTCAGTTACTAGGTACTTGAAAAAAAAGTTAAGATTTTTTGTAAAGTTAATTTCTTTCTTATTATGAGTAATAGGATAACTATATTTTTAGTATGTGCGTACCTTGCAAGATCCTCATGCCCGTCAGACAGTTTTCATTTGATCTCGACCTCATTTCATGGATCAGTGAACAAGGTTAAGTTTTCGTGGTTTAGTCCATATATCAGATATACTTTAAGCAATATGTCTACTATATTTGGTGTATGGAATGATTGTAAGGTGTACATGTCCAACCAGGTGACCTTGACCTCATTTTCATGGTTCAGTGGTCAGAGTTAAGTTTTTGTGTTTTGGTCTTTTTTTCTAATACTATATGCAATAGGTCAACTATATTGGTGTATGGAAATATTTTATGATGTACAGGTCAACTATATTTGTTGTATGGAAGGATTGTAAGGTGTATATGTCTGTCTGGCAGGTACATGTATCATCTGACCTTGACCTCATTTTCATGGTTCATTAGCCAATCTTAAGTTTTCATGGTAAAGTTAATTTCTTAGATACTATAAGCAACTATATTTAATGCATATATTGATTGTAAGGTGAACATGTCTGTCTGGCATGGTTCATCTGACCTTCACCTCATATTCATGGTTCATTGGTTAATGTTTAGTTTTCTTGGTTAAGTCTGTTTCTTAGAAACTATAAGCAATAGGTCAACTATATTTGGTGTATTGAATGATTGTAAGGTGTACATGTATTTCTCGTTTGGTTTATCTGACCTTGACCTTATTTTCTTGGATCATGTACATGTTAAGTTTATGTGATACTTGTAGTAAAGCTTTATATTTAGGACTATCAACATAAAATCAATGGTTAGTAAAGAAGGCCAGACATTTCAGCGTGTGCACTCTTGTTGAATATTGGTGTTGTTTTATACTCTTTTTTAGAAGTACATACAATTTTAAATGATTTAAAATGTGTCGACTATCGGTTTCTTTTTCATAATGATCCAGTGCTCTTGTTAGAAATTTGTTGACTAATATCTTGATACATATATATGTATGAACATGTATGTACAATTATGTGACCAAAAAATTTGAGATTTTATTATTATTGTAGGTATGTTTGATGAGAAGTTCAAAAACTATGTTGGCATATTGTTTGATGAGTTCCAGATAATGAGGACATAGTTTATGACAAGAACACAGGAGAATTAATTGGATACTGTGATTTAGACTCTATATGTAACCAAATCTGATAGCCATAATTCATATTTAAAAACATAATATATATACACATGGTAATCTACATGTTGTACATGTAAATGTACATTTGTATCTGTTCATATAACACCTAAGGTACCAAACACCTTGACTTAAATTAATTTGGCTTGTTCAATTTTCACAAAGTTTTTACAAAATATTTACTATGAGCCTTTGACAAAAATATAAAAAGTTTAATAAACTTGAACCAGTCCACAAACATTATCTGAAAAATTTCATGAGATATTTAGCAGTTTGACTAACACTTATTTTAATCATTGAGAAGCTTAATATTTCCTTAACAATAGAATGTGATTAAAACATTCAGATGATTTTTTATGCCCCCGCCGAAGCAGAGGGGGCATTAAGTTTTACCCTTGTTCGTCTGTACGTACATACGTACGTACATACATACGTCCATCCGTACATCCCAAAATTAGTTTCCGTTCTCTAACTTAAGTTTGCCTCAACAAAATGTTATCAAACTTATACACAATGTTTATTTATACCACATTATACAGATCAAGTTTGAATTTTGGTGGGGACACTTTTACCATTCTTGAGTTATGTCCCTTTATAAACATAAAAATTGCTGAATTTTTCGTTTCCGTTTTCTAACTTTAGTTTGTCTCAACCAAATGTTATAAAACTTATACACAACTGTTCTAGAGTTATCCTTGTTTACAAATAGAAAAATTGCTGAATTTTTAGTTTCTGTTCTCTACTAAAGTTAGCCTCAACCAAATGTTATGAGACTTACACACAATGCTTATTACCACAAAACTCAGATCAAGTTCAAATTTGGGTAGCGTCACTTTTACCGTTCTTCAGTTATGTCCCTTTATAACTATATGATATGCAAGCGGGGGCATCATCTGTGTCCACATGTGGACACTATCCACATTTATTTTGTATTTCCTTTCTTCAATTTTGTTGGATTTCTCTTTACACATGTTAGATGCCAAATTTGTAACCCTATGGTCATATGCTGTAAGAAGAGAAATTATTGTATATGCATGTACATTAGAAATACATATGTGATAATTAAAATATTATTTATACCTATAACATGTATAATGATCGTTATACTCTTTATCTTAGTTTATAGTTTGAAAAAGGATGGAATCATATGCAGTGATATTTAGGTATATAAAAAAAAAAAATGTTCTGATTCTCAGTCACACTGGACCTTTTCAATTCAGAATAATTGGATGTAGGCAGGTTTTTTACAGATGTTATTTAGTTTATCCTTAAGCCACTCCAAATTGTTTTATAGTATTTTTAGATTTGCTTGCTGTAGAAAAAATATAAAAAAACTTAACCAAAATGTGCTGTCATTTCCTGAAGACTTCCATTGCTCCATGTTAAAGTAATCAATAATTTCATTTGCCCATTGTTGAAGGTTCTCAGTGACCTACATGTATACTAAAAGTTGCTTACATCAGTGTCAGTTGGACTAACAAATAGTTGTCTTATTGGCAATCATACTACATCTCACTAGTTTTATAGTGATATTTAAATGCCCTCGCCGTAGTGAGGGGGGCATTAAGGTTTATCCTTGTCTGTCCGTCCATACGTCTGTACGTCAAATTTTTTTTTTTAAATCTTTAGTTTGCCATAACCAAATGTTATGAAACTTATAATTGATACGATATTTCCTATCATGATTTCCTTGATAGAGGATTGCTGCTCACAAGGAAGCTATTAAACCAAGAGTTCCAAATGGTGAAGTTGAAATCATCCCTTCGTAAATTTTACAGACGCCATCACTAGTTGGTTGACCGTTATGGAATAACTGTTTCACAGGTGATATCGGATATGTACCTTATGTCGTAACTACAATACCCTTCCCTTTTCACGAATGTGACCTACGGAATTAAGACTATTTACCAGATTTGTAATAACATAAGCAACACGACGCGTGCCACATGTGGAGCAGGATCTGTTTACCCTTCCGGAGCACCTGGGATCACCCCAGTTTTGGTGGGGTTTGTGTTGCTTAGTCTTTAGTTTTCTATGTTGTGTCTTCTGTACGATTATTTGTCTGTTTGTCTTTTTATTTTTAGCCATGGTGTTGTCAGTTTATTTTCAATCTATGAGTTTGACTGTCCCTCTGCTATCTTTCGTCCCTCTTTTATACACAATGCTTATTACCACAAAACACAGATCAAGATTGAATTTTAGTGGTGTCACTTTCACTGTTCTAGAGTTATGCCTCTTTGCAAATGGAAAAATTGCTGCATTTTTAGTTTCCTTTCTCTAACATAAGTTTGTCTCAACCAAATGTTATAAAAATTATACACAACCACAAAACTTTAGTCTAGTACACATTTGGGTCACTTCTACGGTTCTTGAGTTATGTCCCTTTATAACGTTATATACAAGCGGGGGCATTATCTGTTTCCCATGGACACATTCCCCATTTATTTACTGTTTATTCACACACACACACAAAAAGTACATAGGAGATCTTCTCTGTCATCAAATTTTTAAATCTATGAAATAGAAATATATGCGAAAATATATTTTGAGCTCAAATTATTATACATGTATAAATAAATGTGTCTGGGCGGACAAATATTACCATTATAAAATGTTCATGGTTAAAGAATTTACTAGTATGTTTAGTGGTGAGTCCGATGTCAGTAATTTATGTCCCCAGACAAATTTTCCTAAGAATTCATGTTCAGGTCAACAATATTTCAAGGTAAAAACGTCCATGTCCTTTATTTTACTCAGAAAATGTGAAATTAAAGAAATCATTTGCATGTTAACAATGTATTTCTTTAATTCTTATGTTTTTATGTTCTGTAACAATTGTGCATTAATCTTTTAATCAGTCAGGATTCGACTTCGTCAAAATTTCTCCCAATTACGCCAGCCAATTTGTACAATCGTAAAAATGGAAGCCATTATAGGGATGACGCGCTGCCAATTTAGCTCTTGAAAACCGACGAATTTATCCACATAGCGCCATAACGACCCTTACATGCAAGTTGTATTTTAAAAGACATGTGTATCTCTATTAGCTATTGAGCATCATTTAATGTACTTATGCATTTAGTCAACTTAAAAATTATTGTCTAATCGGTTGTCAGGTGTAACTTTCGAAAGTTCGAAAACATTTAAAAAAATTCGAATTAAATATTTCGTGGAAGGGCAGACTAAAAATTTTCAAAGGTTGAAGACTAATAACCCTAGATAACTCACACATAAAAAATAAAGTTTTTTTGAAGTCATGCATTTAAACGATCCACTTGAAAAGTCTTTCGTCAAGTACTTTTAGTAAAAATTTGTTATTCGAACACACCTACTCTGTTTTTATGACTCATCGGAAAGGTATTTCACTTGACCCACATATTTCATTTTTTAGTACTGTGATTTTTTAATGATATTAAATCAACCTGTAGCCTAAAATATAAAACTAATAGAATATGATGCGAGATCATGTATCAAATATATTTGCTTTATAATTTTTCAAGACAGAATGGTTAACTCAAACACGCCTGAACATAGAAAGGTGCACTCGACTTTCTCTTTTTTGATGAAATTTTTGCTCCTTTTTGGGATTTAAAAAAAAAAAAACTGTCGCCGGGGGCAATGCTGCAATAAAGGATGTATTCTTCTGCTGTTTCAGTCATGTTGAAATCTCTTTCGGGATTTCTTTTCCAAAACATGTGATACAAGTGGAAAATATCAATGAATTTTAAAAAATATTATAATCAAACTGAACTATGTGAAAAAATTGTGTACTAACAATAAGTAGTTTTTGAGATATATATTTTTTTAATTTTGATAAGCAATCCGGTCAGTGTAATCAGCCAAAATGTTGAGAAAATTGGTGAAGTGTACAAAGAAGTGATTTTACCAAAAATATGTACATCCCACGTCATTTTTTTTCAAATTCTTAGATATGTATTTTTCAATCATTCATTGCAAAGAAGTTGATATAATATGCTTTTTGTTAAAATAAAAAATCCTAAATTTTAAAAATTTACAGCATGGTCAATTTGACACGAAAAAGCAACAACATTTTATAAACTTTCTTATATTAACACGATCTATAATTCGTCTCTTAAAGCTAGATTATTCAGATTGGTCCACTTCGTCTTTTATAGCCAAAGAATGAACAAAAAGTTTAATTTTATAACTTTGATTTTTTTCATGCTAATAGCCCAAAAATTTATATCTTTTTGTGGATTTTTTTTCGGCGGAATTTCTGCTTATGCACAATCGACTGTTTTGTGAAAATGTGTCTATAATTTAAAAGTTTACAAATATCTCGAAGCTCCAAACTATAATTGAAGTAAAAACACATTTATAAGATGCATAAAATTCATGTCCTTTAATTTTATAGGAAAATTTGTAATGAAAGAAATAATTTAATTTTTAATTGTTATATGTTTTAAAATTGTTTAACAGACAATAATATTTCACTGTATATAAAAAAAAATATGGGTGTTCGTTTTTTTATATAATTAAACGGACTTGTATTCATAGGAAAATGGATATCACAGACTTTAATGATGTACATAATTACAATTGTTCATTTTTAAATTTATTATTTATTAATTTAAAGAATGTCTTAAAAATAAAATTTAACGGCAGTGACTTTTTCATTGAAAAAAAATGAGAATACGGATATATAAAAATTTTCATAGGAAAATAAGTGCCAGACATAATTTACTAGGAATGGGATTATTTTCATAGGAAAATTTATCCTTGGACTTACATTCGTAAAATTAAGGGCACGGACTTGATTACCTAGGAAAAACAGAATTTCACTGTTACACAAGTACCTGATATATACGCTTAGTCGCTTTGAACAATAATATTCACACGAGAATCTTTAGCACCGTCTATAATGACAACCCAGACAAAGTATTAAAAGAGAGTTGGAACTATTCAAATGATTATAAATGATTAAATGTTGTATTTAACATAGATACTTAGGGACAGGACAATTTTCTTTTAGCCCTCCCCCTTTTTTCCAAATCTTTTATTTCTTGTTTTCTATTAATTTCAATTATTTTCGCATTTATCTTTGTTATATTGTGGACTGACGTATCAAATGAAAGCTTGATGACTTGGGATCACTGTAGAACCCTTGTTGAAAGTTTCTTTTAAAAAATAAGGAAGTATATTATAAAATTATAATAGGAGGGCTCATTTGCCCTGTTGTTCAGATCAGAAGTACCTGTTCAAGTTTTGAACTATCAAAATTCCGGGAACCAAAACTCTCTAAAATGCTATTTAGGTATATTGATTTTTTTAGCACAGGATAATGTATAGTTTTGACATGAAATGACTGCCACTTTATTTGAACTTAAGACAAAGTAGCCATTAATGCTCGAAAATTGCAGAATTTAACATAGAAAGCAATGCGGCTATGAATTAGTGGCTTTATACCATAATAGTCCCTTGTTATCTGGTTATATTGAAATAAATATAGACGTTACATGTTTACTAGATAAGTGTATTTTACATTAAAAAAAAGATCAATTGTATTAAATTTAGTCTTTAAACTGAGTTATTTGAGAATTGATATTTATATATCACTGCGTTCGAGTCTCCGGCTACAAAATGCATGCCCTCTAATAGTGTTTGCACCAGAATCAGGCGTGTCAAATCGCTCGGGTGTACATATGCATTTCAGAGAACACATTTTTAATCTAAATAAATTAAAGAATTTGTTACTCACTGTACTACTTATCATACCCGTTGCTACAGCTACTGCCGAAGTGTCGTTTATTTTTTGCGTTGGGTAAAAATTGACTTGCGAATAACTATGCACCAGAAGAGACTATCCGCATTAGGGTTGATGCATATTCATCGAGAAACCCAATTAAAACTTTACAAAATTCTTTCATACATACAAATATATTGTTTGGAAGTTTGGCTATAGAACACTTATTAAAAGACAAAGCACTTCCTAATTTTAACGGTGATGGTGTTTAACGAGCCCTTAAATTTAGATACGATTCGGGTAAAATATCGATCCTGTATATACATTTATAATAAAAGGTAACCCCATTCAACACTGTAATTATATCCCTGAATATTGTTTTTCATCGGTA